TAATGATGATTGTTCTAATCACTGTGGCGAAATGCAGCCCACATGTGATCAATAGATTTTTATAAATCCGGATCAGGTGACGATAGACTATAGAGCTGTTTGTGCTGACTTAATTAGGTTACTGTTTATTTTATCCGACAGAACTTCTGTGCCAGGAGCAAAAACAAGATAATCAACCTGATCTAATTCTAGGAGGGCAACGGTTAAGTCTGACTAATCGGTTCTCGTGGCCACTCAGGTCAGCGTATGAATAAATCGATATGACCCAACATATTCAGACAACTAATTTTTGCCAGAAGTGACATCGCCATCGGTATGTGCCTGGCGTACGCTGTATCACTCAAGGGATTAGCATAAATTGGAGCGTATTCACTCTGTTTGCATAGTTCCCCTCCTATGCTGCCCCACTTATTTTCGCTAGTGCATCAGACTCTAATTTTGCACTTATTAGATCTTATCGGCAATGTCGTGCCGGAAATCAAACTCCGGACTTCTGGCAGACAATACGCTCATGTCACCATTACCTCACCAGCACACTAGATGCACAAGAGTCACCATAATTACGCAAGCGACTAGTGAAACAAGTCTACGAGTCCCATGACGCATGGAAATTATCCGGACGCCTGAGTCGGGAGTTCTGACATGCGGATCGATTGGGTAACATAGCGAAGACAGCTGTCGTTTGAGGCGTCTGTAGAAACGGCTTCTGGCTGCTTCTACTATGCGCCAAATAACACCTTTCTCATATTGTGCAACCTAACTACTCTGTATAGTGTTTGTGCTGACCATGAATGTCGAATAGCCACATCACAATGATAAGCTGACTAAGCCCATTTGGACCATATTTTTATGAGATGACCAGCTGTGAGCAATGCGCCAATAGTACATATATAGTAATTAACAGTGATACAAATTTTAGGTGAGCCAGACGCATTGAAGAAACGAGGAAGTGTTTGTACTGATAAAGTAGTGGACAGTGAACTGTAAGTCAACTGAAACCCACGAATAGTTTTGAACTCCGATAGACGTGAACCCAACTGTTCTTTGGTGCCCAAGCATTGTTCAAAGATTTTTCATTTTTATGGTCTGCTGTGACGCCCGAAGGCAACTACACTTCATCAAGATTCATCCTCGACGCGTGCATGGCAAAGCACGATACTAGATCACTAATAGTTCTGTTTATATACACCATATCCAACCGATCAATACTCGTTTTGGCGCCAATTAATAACATATTAAACGGCTTCACCGCTGACATGCACTTCTCTACTAGTGCCATGACTAACTGTTTACAGAGGAATCTCGGTGGGCTACGTTAGACGCTGAAGATAGTAGCTTTTGGAATTTCATTACTTCCACTAAGTAAGAGGCAGTATATTCTAACTACTGTACTGTATGGTGCTCCATCAACTTTATCACGGCTATTGTTTTTTTTTACCGAGTTAGTATCATTTAACATACATGTTGTGTGCGGGGAATGCCAGAACGAGTTAACTCGGTCATTTGTGTCAGTCTTGTTCGTAAAGGACGGGCCGACTATTTTACTAGCTGTAAGAATATGACTCATATGATAGACCCGCATAAAAATGCACACATCGTATGCGAATGACAATTAAAATCACCCGTCATTTTGCCCACATCTCATCCCCTTTCAAACTAGGATAACCAATCAGTGGTTAATCAGATGGTCATTGTTTTGTTCACCGAGCTTGGCAGTTAGCTCACAAACCTCTCGTGCCACCGTAGGAACCCCAAGGACTACCAATATTCTGACACATCGATGGGATAATCACACTTGAAATGAGTTTATCCAGAAACAGATGGTCCCAAAATATCTGAGAGATGAAGCTGAACGCGCAAACTCGTGGAACTTTCGTCTGACCCACGACCAGAGTAGGAAACATTTTTACAACTGAAACAAGTTGAACACGGAAATAACCAGTTCACTGGCAAAAAAATCCTGTGCTGTCCATTAATGTACTGATTAGTTTTGGCATACTTTAATGTCCGAAAGAAAATCAGAAATTCTCCATTTTTTTCATGATTTTTGCTGTCAAGTAATCGTTTGTTTTTCGCCATGACTCTTCAGACGTTCTCAATGATAGACATGGCCGGATCATTGGTCGATCATTTAGCATAAATGAATATTTGTGAAGTATGAATTCACCGTCCAGTACACGTATTTCCGGACTAGGAGCATGGTGCCACTTCTACTGGATGTGGTCCACAGCAATCGTGTCTTGGTTCTTTCCGTTATCTTCCGCATGATCCGTTCAAGCATCATCCTGATGGACAGGCAAGAAACGTGATAACTACCGTTCTTCATTTACTCAGTTTGGTCACATCCGCTACTCACCTTTATGTTTTCATATGTCAATAGTTACCCCTGACTGGCCATTTTTTATTCGATCCAATAATTCATGAGCTCACCTTATGGACACATCCCACCAGAGGTAACTGGTTAGTAAAAATGTCATAGACGATCTTCAAGTTCGAAACCTACTATCCGAATGAAATTGACCCCGTGCCCCATTCATGCGAATCCACTAAGCCACGAACTTTGTTGTGAAAATGGTAGAATTCTGCAATCTCGGGCGATGTCTGATGATATTTTCACGGGTTCACGTATCTCCTTCCAACAGTTCACACGTAATCAGACACTAGCTTAGCTTGGGTAAACTCAATTCAACTTTGAGGAACCTAATTAAGAGGACACAATGAGTTAAAGGCTGCGGACTTTAGTAGCATTGAGTGTACCAGATTACAAGAACAAAATTACTGGTCTTACAAGCCACAGTCGATCAGAAAATGTTGTTGCAGATAGTGGCGAAAAGCATGTGTGGGTAGCAATCTGACACGAATGAGTGTACGCATGATGATGTGAGTCGGTGCATGAGCCGCTACGGGCGTAACCTTTTACGTGGGTGATTTTATAGAACCCACTGAAAGTTATCACTTCACAGATTTAGGTGCTATGCAGGGTTCTCTTGGGTCGATGCTCCGCCTTGTATGATAATCTATTTTGTCGCAGAAGTCTCGATCAATCATAGTCTTACACGGAGCGCCTTAATGAGTTGAGGCAGAGGAGACTTGATGGCTTATTTAACTACAGCGAATAAACACTGATGGTCCTGAAATATACCTGAAAGAAGAGAATTCCTTGCTGACCAGTTACTCTTGTGAAGCGGAGTTTTACCGTACAATTTTGGCACTACTGAGGATATCGTAGTTAAGTGGAATTATTTAGAGGGTTCTTGTTTGTAGAATTCCTCCGCAAGTGACAAGTCAGTCAATCTTGTTGCAGGTAAAGCCGGGTACCGGTGATATGTGTTCTGTTCCCTAATTGGAGTGAAATTATTTCGGATTGGAGATCTTAGTGAGCTCCCTTGGTCGATCATTATTTCATCTGAACAACGACCGACAGGTGTTTATGCTGTGGTGCCGAGAACCACGTGAACCGGTGATGACGCGACTCATATGTGGCCAACTGAGTTGACCGAAACAGAAGTAGAACGTATAGATGATGTATAAACTTTCGGGAAACTTGTTAGCTCTTCAGGTACAAACAGACTACTTCGTATGCATTCCTGGGAGCAACCATAGATTACCAGAATAGGTTCGTTCGGTATACAGAATTTCAAAACGATTGTTCGAAACTCCCGGGCCTCAGACTTATGTTTTCACTGGTTATTCACGTGTGGCCTGTTTGTAGTAGTCACTTGATAAACAACACAGATAATAGGAATGCATATTTAATGACATTCCACATCTCGACGGCTCATGACCGCCCTTAGTAGGGAGCCTAATTGGATAACTGGTTTCAAGAGCACGAGGATTGGGTTCAAATTTGGAACAATCATGTGGGTGCTGTGTTCTTTATCACAGAACTGCATACACCACTAATCCAGTGATTTCAGTGTGCCACAAGTTGGCTTACTTTCTCCGCATAGTTGGGATAAGTGCGAATTTTGTCGTGTAATGAAACTGTTCAAAAAAATCAGCGCAAGACTGATTCATGTTCTGGTCTTCGCGGGGTTACTAAACGCCCTCATCCTGGTCCTGTCAAGCTGGAAAAATGTATTTTATGAACAATGTTCATGAAGCTACACCCAGCATCTTTTAACTTAGAGCTTACTTTGTCAACGATTTGTCCAAGTTCATTGAACTCTTAGTGGAATTTTTGAATAACACCTTCCAAGGATTCCACAGGTTCAGGTCAACAGCAGCGTACTGGGTGCAATACTCGCAATAATGAGACGAACTGGCTAACTTTGATCAAAAAAGCACGCCGTAAGACCTGAGTTAGAGGGTTGCAACAGACTTCTTCGCTCTATGGGAGACAGTTTCGGCGCAAAATCGTTTGCACTCCCTTTGAAGTGCCTTTCGGTGGTCGTGTTTTCGCTGAAGATAACCTAACCCCCATTATCTGCTAAGACGAGCACCCTAGTTCAACGATTGTTCCTGTTGGACTTTTGCATCGCTGTGTATGCATTCTGTGACCAATGAGGGAGTATGAAACGCATTCCGGAGTGACATGACATTAGCAGCCCTGGATGTAGTGATCACAGGCAAAAGATCCGTCAGGCTAAAATATCTATTCGATGTCACCATAAATCCTAGTCCACAACCTTTGTTAATTGATTCCTTCTGAGCATGAGCATATTCATAACAGTGGTTCACATTAATGACCAATTCGAGTAGTTTTGGTGATTTAGTGAGCATTGATTCGCGATTCCCTATCAATTTAGGAGGAGCGGTTATCAGATTTCGCTGCTGAAATCCAGCCTATATACTTGCAAATAATATTTCCAGGTATTATGTGCTTAATCTTTGTACTTAATCTTTGTTTTACTGTACCGGTTGCTGTTGCAGAGTTGTTCCAGTGTGTTTCTAGGCATCAGTTTTAACTTTGCCATATGAAACCAATTCAGCCGGTGCTAAACGGTGCAGAAGTGTATCACTCTTGTTGCAATCTATCAGTTTCAAGGGAAGTCGAACTAATGACCTTCGACACAGGATTTGAATGCTATGACCGAGTTGGTCATGAGGATCCTGTGCTTATATGGGACACAGTCCCACAGTTCCACTCGGCCATGCGGATGCCTGTCGAGCGACCAGATGCTGATGGACACTTTGGTGACCATCTGGTCGAAACGTCTGCTTATGCAGTGGAATGCTGTCTTTCTGAACAGTTCGCTTACACTTTAGAAGTGGCCACGGGTTTTTGAGGTTTTCAGTTATGAATTTTCGGGTTTTCAGTTTTGGGTTTCGTCTCGTGGTGGACGAGGAAGAAGCATTGTCCAGCCGTTTGTCTCTGTTTTATTAGTGTTTTTTTACAGCACAAATTCCAGATGCTACTGCAGACTAGTGCAGTCGGTTGACCGTGTTACTTCGATTCCACACCAACAAACCAAATTTTCCAGTGTGGTTATTCTTCCGTAAGGATTTACACCTTGTACGCTGTTTGAAGAATTTGAACCTTTTGAGATTCAAGTGAGTTTGAAACCATCGGAGTTTATTTTCGCAGGTGTACTTTGAGGGTCTTGAGGCGTATTCGATCAAAACAAGCCCGGATTTCACTAAAATGATACGGTTTATCAGCTATTTATTCTTTGTATTCTAGACGATGCTTAAATTCATACGGAGGTTTTCTTGGGCCTCCTTTGGCATCCACGAGTTTGCCCTTCTGAAGATAATTATAGCGGCAATTAGAGAGCCCAAAGTAGATAAACCAAATTGTTAAAAACAGCTAAACAGTTAGTCTTTATTGCTGGTTAGGAATTTTTTAAAGTTAGGACTCTGTAATACGAATAGAACAACATGCATATGGGTGGACAACATTCTTAGTAAACGACTTTGTTTTTATTTCCACAAAATGAACAAAAGTAATCGTGCTGTATGAAACAGTCAAATAGGAGATTGATCTTTGTAATGCGCTGTTTATAAGGTTGCTGAAAACTCTTCGATAGCCCACGACCGGTTTCGCACATCTTGGAGCTTATCAGGTAGGCGCAGTCCCCGAGGTTCCGTCAGCCTCATGTTCTACTTGAGACCAAGGTGCACGAAATTGGAGAAATACACTCATTTACAAAATAATTTGGTTTTTCGGAGGGTTGATTTTTTCCGTCTGAAAAAAACTAATTTCACAGAAGAGGTTACAGTCCAGCTAGTAGGATCGGAAATTATGCTGTTCTCTGATAGAAACCTAACTAGACTGATCGGTTACACAAATTGCCTGGTCTGAAAACCTTTTGATTATTACTTTGGCGTTGGGTGGTTGTGTATTTGTGTATCTATCTCACGCAACTGGATTTTTATCGACTTTACTGTCTTGTTCGTCTAAATAACACAATTTTAGTCCCGCCGGTTCACTTGTAGTGTACACGAAAAACAGAAGCGATTATTGATGGGAAACTTTGTCTTGGACGGCGGCAACCCGCCTATTCATACGCTCTGGTAACATGATTAATAAAACGTAATCATGGTTCATATTCGCTAGACCATGAAGAAAGTATCCGCGACAGCGTGTGCTTCCATCTGCAATGATTTTCCCACTGATTCAGACGTAGGATAAACACATTTTGAAAGAGTCCCATAGAAGAGGACAGTTACTTTCGGTTCTGCCGAAGCTTGTGCGAGAAGACACAAATAATCCGTATTATTGGTAGTTTATGTCGCTCTAATTATTCACGCATGACTATGGTGGTCCCAGCAAACAATAGTATTCCTCAACTGGCCATGCTAAAATCTCAGAATACAAGTGAGATTTAATTTGGCAAAAGATGTTTATATCCGAGCCGGTTTAATGCGGATGAATTGAGCGGCGAGTAATACTCGAAAGTGAGCTGTCTTGTTGATGCCTCCCTATACTATGGAATCTGATTTATTGAAATCCGACAGAATTGTATAAGATTCATTTGTGTGTCAGCCAGGAGTCACATCTGACTAAAAACTGCAACTTCAGGTTTGTTCTCTTTTCATGGGGTCTGGACATGCTGTGTTAGCTAGGCAGCTCAACCTGAATACTATGAAGCTGATAAATGCAAAAGTATTAGAAAGTAGTTTTCTCATCTTATGTAGTGATATTCGTCTGCGTGTTTGTTGTGCAACACCTACAGTCAAAAACCTGGTGAGATTCAACTGAGTTTCTCTTTAACTGCACGTTTTGCACAAAGGCCCCCTGATATTTCACTTGGCATGATACTCTAGATTTCGCAGAATATTCCATAAAGAAAACCATTCTCAAGGTTGCTGGACACCCGACAACAGCCCGCGACAGGTTTCATCCTTCTTGGGTCTCATCAGGTAGGCGCAGTAGCCGAGTTTTCGTCAACCTTATGGTGTACTTGAACCCAAATTGGACCGGTTTCGACAAATACGCTCACTTGCAAATCAAGTTGGCTTTCATGAGAGACCCAGCTTAATCTCTCGTTCACGATATTCTTTAACTGAATATGCCGCGCAAAGGCATATTTCATATTTCATATCACAGATGACACTATATTGGAGATGTCGCAGTATTCTCAGCAACCTTGTGATTTGTCTCCTTTATGATAATGTACCTTGGTGAGAACGTTGATGCATCATCAGTACTCTAAGACCAGTATCCACCGAACTGCATTCTATCACCATGTGTATATGAATCCAACTGGTGACTTTAAAGGTGATGCAGGAGTGTACAAAGGAAGCGACGAGAAATCCAAAATGTTGTCAGCAAGTGTGTATTGGAACTGCTACACCCAAGTAAGGACATTCCATAGACAATCAGTATCACTCCATGCGTGCGAACTTTCGTACTCAGTCCGTTTGGAAACGCAGGCCACTGACTCAACCAACTCAGATAAATCGAGAAAGTTTAGAATTTGCTAAATGACAACAACTCTGGATTAAGTGCAGGTAAAGACGAGCATCAGACCGTTTCACGCATTCATGAACTGGGTAAATTTTGGGCAGAAAATATCACTTTATTGAATTACCTTGACCTCTTTTCAATAAGCCTGTTTTTCAGTGAACTCTTGGGGGACCGAAACTCACCCACCCACCTAAACCCAGTCCTGAGTAATAAGAGGTCTAAATCCCTGTTCGCCGCGACTTGACTATCTCAAGAGAAACCAGTTCTCACAGTGGAATTTACGGCACGCAGTCAGCTAATAAGTGCCTTGACAACAGTCGATCAAGTGCTATTGGATTGCAGTCGACTATTAACAGTGTTCGGACGTGAGTGAGATGACACACTGAGAATGCCGGGACAAGCATGCATACATGTGCGTACATAAGCAGTGCGACAGTACGACAGTGCTGGTGCTGATCCCATTGGACTGGTCCACTATTAGCGGATTCGCAGTGGTCCGTTGGCATTAGTGAAGCTAATCTATGCAGGAAAGTGGAGAACAACTGTACTGCTTCATTCCTATTGAAGGTCACCAGCAGAGCACATGTCGGTGACCATCAGACCTGCGTCCTTTTTGACTGGCACTTGTAAGCTCAGGCGTTCCACCATGAGCGGCTTAACAGTACTGTGAGTAACACACACTTAGGCAGGATAAAGCGCCTCCTCATTATGTCATGAAACATACATTTGCACTTGGGTTGTGTGTAATAGGCGTACACAACAGTACTCGTTATTGTTGTATGTGGCCAATTCAAGCAAATTTTATGGACGAATTGTGTTTACCAGTATTTCGAAGGCTTACGGAGGCTGCACATCTGACTGTTTTAGCAAGCAGATGAACTCTCCACAACATTTTCTTTGTAAATCGATTTTCACATACACACACACACCACATGGCATCATATCCTACGGGTTGTTTACACCAGCTGCCACAAAATATCCGGATTGCAGTGCGCAGACTGGACCATCTGGAAATGATCACTGGTGCAAACATCCAGTGTCAACTTTATGCAAGAATTCTCGTCTGAGGAGAAGCCCTTTTTTAGCAGAGTACGACGTCTTGTGCTCACTGACTTTGCATTCCAAAGAAGTTAAGTACCTAACGGTATATCAAAAAATAAGGAAAAGGTTCGCTTTTCAGCGTCGCATGAAAACTCTGAACAGTTTAGGCAATCGACATGAGCCAAAAAACATGAATGCCTTCTTAAAACTGTGCAAGCTTCTACAGGTTTCTGTGATTTAGGACCATCGGGTCCCATGGAGATAAAATGTGTCTCTGCGGGGAACAGTTAGCCCTAAGGAAGGTCAGAATACCACACCATTTGTTGTTGTCTCTTTTCGGGTAGTAGGTGACACCCAATGAAGACTGTCGGCTTGTAACAAGGAGCTGCCCTCTCAATCGCCTGGGAAAATGCCGTCAAGACTTATCACTCCCTTTAGTTTATCCAGGGGGAGGCGTACAAGGAAGAATTTAAATAATCACACATTTATACTTATTCTACTTATCTGTGAATATATTATACCATCTGGGGCCACCAGCTCGACGCAGTCTGCTCTGACCTAACCGCTGACAATCCGGAATCAAGCTGCTACCGCCAGTCGGAGATGACTGGACACCGGGGGCTAAACAATGTGGGAAACAAGAACAAGGATATTTGGTAGCAGACTGCACTGTAGTTGGATGTAAGTCTAACAGAAAATGTTGACTACCTACCTACCTAGAAACTGCCGGCTCCCTGGGCAATATAGGTAAGTCAGAGAAAGCGTGGGGGATTTCGTCCAATCCTTTACATAGCTTGATAACCAGTAAAGGCGAAATCGCCATACCAGAAGCTCATTTCACTCTGCACAAGTGAACTGGCTACAAATTCAACTAGCATGGCATGTATGAAGGACAGGCCTGAACCCGAAAGGACTCTTCTCTCGCTATCATCCGCTTGTAAATATCTTTCGGAAAAGCTAGCAGTGGCAGCAAAATATTGATAATTTTTAGGTTCGCTATGATTAGTGATGGAGGGCATTTAGTTTCGACTATTACTACTATTATCATTTATTTTTGAAGAGCATGGTCACAAACATAAAAAGTGAACGCAAGCAATGAATGCGAAAGAGTAACAGGAGAATATGGGAGAAAAGAGAGAAACGTCTCATCCGAAATCATGCCAAGAACAGTTCCAGTCTGATGAGGTGAATCCCAAAGTATGTAAAGACTTGGTATGGAAACACATGTCTAAAGACCAACAACAGAAGAAAGGACAAACAATGTTGAATGCTCATCAAGGCGCGATAGGCGCTGGCACAGTCAAGACTCGCACATCAGGCACAAAGTGTCCGTCA